ATATTAGGTTTTAATTGATTTAGAATCGACTTATGTCGGATCTTATAAAAGGAGAAGTTTTCAAATGCATATTTTTCTATTTATAAAACTCAAATTTAAAAATTTTATTTAAGAAAAATATTATGCTTTTACATTAAAAAAGGAATGAGTTTGGGGCTTTACAATTTAAATTGTATTAAATTATATAATGTCAATTATTGAATGAAGAAATCTATACCCTTTATTAAAAGACTTCTCATCATTCAATAATTAATATTTTATAATCTGAATTAAAAAAATATATATTTTTAAGAAATAGAGAAAATAAAAGAGATTAATGATTGTTGTTTGTTTATTGGCACTAACAAATAAAATCAAGGCTATAGTATTTGTGTTTGAATAGCAGGTACCGTAGGTCATTTTTCTTATAGAATATAATAAGAAAAAAATATATATTAGTTCCAACTTTTAAAATAAATTAGAGTTTTAATTTTATTTAAATGACATCATTTTATTTAATTAAAATTCAATTCAAAATTCAAAAATCCATTTTATTAAATGTTGAAATCTAAATTTGGAAACTAATTATATTAAAATATATAATTTGTTTTTAAATTTAAATATCAACATTTAATGACATAAATTTTTAAATGTTGAATTGAAATTTCAATTTTTGAATATAAATTGAAATTCTAATCTTTTTAAAAAATCGAGATTGATATACATCAATCTCATATGATAATGTTGTAGCTTTTGGAAGACATAATTTACTCCCAAAACTTTTTTTTTTTTTTTTTACATTAGAAAGTGAAAACCTAAATTCGAATTTAGATGATTAGATTTGATGCATGTTCTTAAGAAATTATATAAATTTCCTATATATATATATATTCTACTCATTTCAATTTTAGTTTTATAAATAAAAAAAAGTGCATGACATTCCATTCTTTAAAAAATTGGGAATGCTATAAACTTTAAAATGATGTTATTTTTGTGTGTGTACATGTTGATTTTCTAATTCGTTAGTTAAGGATAAGGTCTTAATTCTGTCTAAAAAAAATAAGGTCTTCATTCATATGAGAGGTAAGATTTAAAAACAATGTTGTTTTGAGTCTATGAGCTTCTTATTCTTAATTAGAAGTTTAAAGTTGAATACACATTAGCTATAGGATTGTTTTTTAGTATTTTTTTGTGAGGATGTTCTTAGTTAATTTTTTTAAAATTAATTTTTAAAAATAATTTTATATATATATGCAACTTTTATATTCATCTATTATACTAAGAAATTAATTTTTTAAATATTATTTGAAACATAAACTTTTAAATTCAATCTTGAAAAGGACACTTCCTCACAAATAAATTTAACCTTGGTTTACTATGTGCCTTTTTAAATAAAACGTGATTGATTTGATTTTTCTAATTTTCATGAACAGCATGATATAACGGATCACCTAACAAAATCATTAATTTTAAGTAGTAGTAATTAAATTTCAAGCTTATACACCAATCAATTGCATCCAGCAAGCACCATCAAAACTGTGTAAGTCAACTAGTTTAGAAACAGCTGGATCAAGCTATATTCCTTTTCAACTGAACTGGCCTCCATTTTTGTAGCTTGTCATCCACAATTTCAGAAAAAAAATTGCGACACCGGCAGCAAGCACCGCCACGGCGCCACCCCACCTCGTACTTGCGTACCCGTTTCCGCGTGTTTGACTGTACGTTGAATTTTGCGCACCCCGAACAATATTAATTCATTTTTTTGCTCTATTTTAGACTTTTAGTACACTGTTTCTTTTTCGTGGAATCTCTTTTTCTTATTTTTATTTTATGGCCTTATGGAACAGGCTTGACCTGATACCAGAAGATGCATCTCAAACCAGTTGGCATCCTCTGAAACAATCGGTGAATATTTTTTCCACGAGTTTTTTTAAGAACACATGTTGAAGACTATATTTTGTTATAAATATATATAAAAATATAAAAGTTAACATTAATTTTATTATTGTTGTTAAATAAATAATTTTAATTAAATTATTAATAATTTAAAATTAATTTTTATTTTTATAATACAAATTTATTATAAAAAATATATTTATTACATTATTTTAAAAAACTCGTTTCCTTTTTCAATTCTACAATGAAATTATACTTCTGTAGATTTTTATTTTATTTTTTATTTTATTTTCTATGTCTACTTTTTTTTGTAGGTTTTGAAAGGCTAGGAGAATGTAAATGGAAAGACAAATTCAAAGAATTTGTTACCCGATAATATATATGTCTTAGTTTGATGGTGCTGATTTATAATTATAACTATAAGTTTTTAATCTTTTAATATATTATAAATATATTTAATATTTATTTTGATTAACATTATACAATCTTTTTAAAATATAAAAGAAAATTAAATTAAAATATTAAAATATTAAAAAACATTTTCAAACAAAGTCTAAATCTCCAGTGTTGTAATGAAGCATCGAGGCGTCAGAAAAAGAGGAGTAATAACTAATAAGAGCATCCATAAAGATGAATCTCTTATTACGACTTCTTAAATGTCACCTCATTTTTACTTATATTTTTTTATTTAGTCCATTTTAAAAGACTCTCCACTCTAATGCGAAGGAACTCATAAAAGACTCTTTAAAAATTATATCCACGTTAATTTCATTTAACGCACATAATTATTTTCATTCCATTTGTCAAATAAATAAGTAAAATGTTGTCTGTGGGGAGACCATTTTTTGTCAGAAAAAATACAAAAGAAAAAGGAAAAAAAATTTTTGATAGCAGACCAGCTCTTGCAGAGAGCCAGTCTACTGTTGGCAATGGGGAGTATCCTACTGGAAAGCTCTCCAAGGGGGGTAAGAAAACCCCATTGGAGATGCCAGCCCCAAGGGCCTATACATGCAAGAAGAATCATGTAAATGACACAAAAAAAAAAAAAAAAAAGTAAACTGTTTTGAATTTTTTTTCTTTCTTTTCCAATTTTCATTTGGAATTGGAATTCCATATCACTACATAGCTCACAAACCATTGACAGGACAGTGAAGTCTAGCCTCATCACTACTTAAAAATATTTTCATGCATATTAATTGATAATCCATATGTTCTATCCAAAAATTATAATTAAGGGAATAAACGTGAAAATACTGTATATGATCAGTAGCCACCACTGGTGTGCTAGGTTAGCTTTACCCAAAGATTCTGTAAAGACAAGTACCCTGAAGCCTTGCCTTCTTGGCTTCTCCAGATCCATTGATTCCATATCATCAAACACCATAGCCTCCTGTCACATATCAAGAAGTTGACATTATAAAATTCTTCCACCTTCAAAAACAAAATAAGTAAAATCACTTTAATTCGCCAACAATTGAACTGAATCCGAAACCAAACAAGAAACTCAATCTTGCAATTTAATACCTTGGATAGGTAAAGTAACATCTAGTTACATGCTTAGGATGTTAATTATTCTCCTTTGCCTTCAAATTTAAAGAATGTCATCATCTGGACCAAATTCCTCTCTGGCAACATAACCAGCATCTTTCATCAGGTCAGTCAATCCATCCAACAAAGAGTAAATTTCGTGCTGATGGGGGTTGGATGTATCCTCCACAACAAATGGGAAAAATTCCGAGCCCACATCAACCCAAGCACAGCCAGGAGCTTTCTTCACACCCAAGTCCCGCATGAAAGTCCTAACTTTTGCTAGCTTGTCCCAACAACCAGCTGCTGCATACGTATTAGCAATCAATACATAGTAACCTGAATTTACAGGCCTTGTCTCCAACAGTTTCTCAGCTGCCCATTCCCCTATATCTGGATTCCCATGAATCCGACAAGCTCCTAACAATGTGGCCCACATGGCAGGACTTGGTTTGTAGGGCATTCTTGAAATAGTTTCCATTGCTTTATTCAGCATACCAGCCCTCCCCTGGAGATCAACCATGCAAGCGAAGTGCTCCAATTTAGGAATTATACCATGGACACTTTGCATCTTTTCAAACCACGTTTGGCCTTCAGCTACTAGACCAGAATGGCTACACGCTGATAGAACCGCCACCATGGTTATATCATCTGGTTTTATTTGGAGCTCAATCATCTCCTCAAATAGTTTCAGTGCTGTTTCTCCTTCTCCCTGCATCCCATGTCCAGCAATCAAGGAGGTATAAGTCACTTCATCCTTCCTTTTCATTAAATCAAACACTCTTTTAGCAGCTACAACTTTTCCTGATCTTGCATACATGTCCACAAGTGCATTCCAAAGCAATAAATAATCCTTAAACACTTCATGCCTTGTAAGGTAGCAATGAAATTCCTTTCCATGTTGCAGATTAGCCACTCTAGCACATAGAGGCAGGATGCTGGCAATTGTAACATAATTTGGTTCAACTCTGGAAAACAACATCTCTCTAAATAGGAAGGAGGCTTCCTCAGATCGATCCATGTGAGCATAACCGGAAAGCATTGAGTTCCAAGTAATTATACCTTTTGCCTCTACTGACTGAAATAAAGTATAGGCATGCCGAAGATCTTTACACCTGGAATACATGGTAATCAAAGCATTTTTAACATTATGAAATTCATCATAACCATTACGAATGGCAAAACCATGAATTTCTTTTCCCAGTTGAATTGCCCCAATGTGTGAACAGGCCCCCAGCCCTGTAATCACTGTCACTGAATCCAAAGGAGTGCCACTAGTTCTCATTTGTGACCACAACTGTAGTGCCCCACTAAAATTGCCTGATTGCACACACCCTCCAGCTATGGTATTGCAAATTATGGTACACAACTCAAAACCTTCAACTCGCATTTTCTCAAAAAAATCAAAAGCTTCCTTCCACATGCTTCTTGACGCATAACAACTGATAATTGTATTCCAAGAAACAGCATCCCTTTCTGGCATTTTCTCAAACAAACATCGTGCAACATCTACCTCCCCAAATTTACCATACATTGAAATTAATGCATTATGCACATACAAACAACTCTCTTGATAACTATCATTAATGGATTTGTGAACTATTTTCCCCAAGTCCAAATCCAATGTCTCCCCACAAGCCTTCAGAACAGATGGGTAAGTGAAATTATCTGGTCTAATCCCCCTACTAACCATGTGTTTATAAGTATGGAGAGACTCTGAAAAAAGCCCATTTCTAACATAAGATGAGATGAGCAGGTTCCAAGGCAATGGGTGCAGAATATTTGAGTTCTCAGTAACAACATGAGCATCACCAAGAAGATCAAATGTTGAGTAAAAGGTGACAAGCCTGGGAACCAGAGCTGGAGACTGTTCAAGACCCAAAAAGATAACTTGGGCATGAAGCTGCTTGCCTTGTGAAAGCCATTTGAAGTTGGTACAAGATATAACAAGAGAAGAGATGGGATGTACGGTAAGGTCATAAGAAGCATTAGAAGAGGCATGGAGCTTGATAAGGGAAAAGACTTTGAATGCTGACAGTAGATTGCCTTGGGTAGCATATTCCCTAAGAGATGCAAGGAGGTTGTTTTTCATAGATTCATCATCAGTAATAGATGATTCCAGGACAACTTTTTCAGAATTTTATGAATTGAATTATTGGTTTGACTGAATATCTACTGCTTTGACGCCGTGTCCCCACCTTTTAGGAAAGAATTTTTTGATTTGGGATATGGACAGTCCTAAAATTAAACGAGATGAAGATCCCATGCAGTACAAAATGTACTGCTGGTGGAATCATGGTAACCAAAAGCTGATAACATTATTTTAACAGCATCTGCAACATGTTACCAGGAAAATTAGCCAATAAATGATTCAATTTCCTGTCCTAACAACCTGCTACAGCTGAATTCAGTGATTGCCTGCAAAGTGCAAGCATGAAAAAAATATATAAGCAATACAAGCATTTTATGTGTTCAACTTCTGAATGCATGCTTGATTACCATATTTTTGAAATCTGATATATAAATATAGTAAATAAGGGCCAATCAAAATCATGTGCAACCAATTTAGCAAAGAAACTTCCAAATTTGGTCAGAATTTGCACTGGGGTTAATCAATACTTCCTCCATTCTACTTTTTTGTTTTGATAGGGTCAATAAAATAATCCCAATCAATGGATTGAAGATAAAGGACTGATAAGCACAGGAAAATAGCTGCAAGTACATAAAGAGATGCAATTATGCAGACCCAAAAAGGAAAAGAGAAAAGAAAAACAAAAACCTCCAAAATGCTGTTGCAGTAACAAGTGTTGCATAACTGGAATTAGACCCAAATGAAAGTGAAAAGAATATAACAAGACACTGCAACAAAAAGAGAAACCTGCAAGATGCTGTTGCAGTAACGAGTGTTGCCGACCCCAGCCAGAGTGGTGGCGGCTTTGGGGCAATTAGCCTCCCTAAGCTTTCTCACACACAACATCCATTTGCGATTCGTGGAAGCAGATTCGGAATTCCCAAGTCTAGTTTGTTTTACACAGAAATTCTCCCTCCTGTTTGACGGCCCGAATTGTTTGCGTCCCGTTCGGCGAATGGGATCTTTTTCAAGCAGAAAACGATGAAGTAAGTAGGGTTTTAGCGAGAATAAAAGACAAAATCCTTGGCGGCGCTGAGAATCGGACGGTAGAGTATGGAGATAACGGAGATTTAGAGGCTGAGGTTCTAAGAGGGTTTAGGCGAGAGACGCAGGCAATGGAATTTCTGTATAAAATAATTTCTTTAAAATTAAAATAAAGCAGTATAATTGATAATTCTCAAAAATTTTGGGGCGGTTGCGAAATAACTTCCCTCCTACCCTTTTCTAAACCTTCCTCTTCTAACTAGGTTTTTCAGGTATTAAAATTAGACTTTTCATATCCAACCCAAACAGGGAATAATAATATATAAATAATTTTTTATAATTTTTATATATTATTAAATAATTAAATACACTAAATATTAGAAGTTTTAAATGAATTTAAAAAAATTAATCGTCTAAATGATAAGGAAGATTATACTAAAAAATAATATAAAAAAATTATTTGTGAATAATTTTTCTATAGTAATATTTTTTTTTTTTGGATTTTTCCTAACTTATACCCTTATCACATTTGTTAAAGAGCGTAAAATATATTTTTCATTATAAATTTAATATTTTTTTAATTTATGCCTTTATGATAAGGTTAAGAGTATTTTTTTTTATTATAAATGTATATGAAAAAATGTAAAAGTTAATATTAATTTTAGTAATAGTGTCAAATGAGAGAATTTAATTAAATAGTTAATAAATTAAATGTTGATTTTTTTAATATAAATTTATGATAAAAATATGTATTTAATATATTTTTAACATGTGTTCTAAAGGTATAGGTTAGACAAACCAATAATTTTATATAAAAATAAAAATTAACTTTTAATTTATTCACTATTCAATTAAATTCATATAGTTAGCACCAACAATAAACTTAATGTCAATTTTATATTTTTGTATATGCATTTATGATAAAAAGATATTTTTAACATGTGCACTAGAAAAACATGTTAGAAAAACCTTTTTACTTTTGTATTTTTTGCTAAATATATTTTAAAAATTGTTTGGTAAAATAAAAATATAATATATTTTTAGAATTTTTATTTTTGTATACAAATTGTATTTTAAATTTTCTTTTCTTGTCTTACTTTTCTTATTTTTTTCAATATAATATTTTTTATAATTGTAATATAATATTAATTATATTAGCCATCATTATTTTACTTTTCTTATTTTTTTGACATAATATTTTTTATAATTGTAATATAATACTAATTATAATAGCTATCATTATTTTATATTATCTTTTACCATAATTGTACAATAAATCTTAATTAAAAGATAGTATGACCTTTTCTTTTTTTTTTTTTAACATTGGGGAATTACGAGAAAATGTGGGATTTTTTTTTTAAGTAGTTAATGAGAATCGAATTTTCAACCAACTAAATTAAATACTAAGATTTAAGGGCTAAGCACTGGGCCCAAAGGCCCGGTTCAAAAAATAGTGTGATATTAAATTATTAATTAGATAAACAAAAACTATAATTTAATAACCTTTTACTTTCTTCCTCTTTATTTTCTTGAGTGAAAACAATGTGGATTTACATGTCTTAATTGGCTTAATACTTCTTACTATATATTTTTTTATTGTCTTCTTGATTCTTTAATTTAATAATTGATAATATCATTTTGTTGTTTATGGTTTATAATTATGTTTTCTATGGTTTGATGCTTTGATTTTTACATAATCAAATATATTTAAAATAGTATTGAAAATTGATTAATCTAACTAAACCACATTGCTCTAATCTAAATTAAATTAGTTTAGTTTTAATATAATAGTAGATTGGATTAGTTTAAAAATTTTACTAATCACTTAAATTAATTTGATTTTTGTGATATCTAGTGTCCTTTTTTGCAATTAGTTAAAAAACAAGTCTTTAATTGCATTGAGTCAAAAGTTAGAGTCCTTCATCTCATCTAGAATTAGGGACTAATCTATAATAATTGTTAATTATGAGATTGCATGTTATTTTAATAAATTGCAAACCAAGCGTCTATCTTAAAGAGAGTTTAGTGCAGTCCAACAGTCTATAATCTGTTAAAATAAATGAGAAGTGGTTGAATGAGAAGTGGGCCAAGTGGGGAGCAATTAAAACCCACTTGATTGGAGGTTTTTGAGCTATATAACCAAATTAGTCATTTTTCTGCATTTTGGCCTCTTGTTGGACTAAAAGAGAAGAAGAAAAAAGGTGCAAAAAGGCTGGGTAGACTTGGAGATTCTTGAAGAAACTCTGTAAGGCTGAATTGCTGTGTAGGATAAGTGTGATTCTTAACTTTAAGCTTAGGCTATCAACTACAAACAAACAAAAAGAAGAAGAAGAAGAAATAAATAAATATAAAATAAACAAAGTATACAAAGGAATTATGATACTACAACTCAAGCTATACAATATAAAGGTTGCAATAAGTCAAAAAAGTATGATTTAATTAGAATAATCTATGCTGAAGCCAATTTCTTGGTGAAATTAATTGTGGGGATAATAAGAATGAGATTTAAACTAGATTATTAAGGTCTAGAATTGAGATTTACTACATTTTAACGAGTTAAATTCTAAAATGTTCATGTTATGCATGCTTTCTTTATGGTTCTATAGACTACGTTGATTGTTGAACATGTGATGCATGTTTCTATATGGTATATGTTTTGTGGTATAATTATCTTTAGAACTATAGAGAGTTTGGATCCCAACTTAGGCTTAGGGGTTGGAATAGTGAACGAGTGGACCTCTACGCAGTAGGTAAGTACCATAACTATCTCTGGCACATAATGTACCTGCATGCACATTTTAGTGGACTTTATAGTCAGTGTTAAATTTGTTTAATATGTTGTGTTGTGTGATTTTTCTATGGCTATTGTCTAAATTATCAGTAATACCATTACTATTAGAAACTAATGATACTTTTCTACATAATGAACTAAGTAAATATTATTAACTTAACTTATGGTTAAGAATTATACTTACTAGACTCTGAGTTCATCGAATTTATTCCACCATTTCAAATAGTAGCAATGAAGAGTAGTTGCTGTTTCCTAAGACTTTTGTTGGATGTCCTATGCTAACTAACACTAATAATGAGTAGTGCATCCAACTAGTCAGTAAGACAAGTTTGTATTTACCCAAAACTATGGTTGGCCCTATAATTTTCAATCTATTTTTTTATTGATTTATAGCCTGGGAATGATATATAAAATGAGCCTTTGAACCGATAGATATTTTCTCTTCTTTTTTTGTTTTTTTTTTTTTTATCTTGCACAAGACATTTCGCTACTTGATAAACCTTTAATTTATCAAAGGGGAGATGTTACAAATTGATATTAGAGCTAGAGTTTTGCTAAGATACAGATTTACTATGTGTAATTGAGTCTAGTGTGTCCTAAGTCTTGTGTCTAGATAACATTAGAATACTCTTTTCACATCATAGTATCAAATAAGACTTAGAAGAATAATACTAGTAACCATTAGCACTTCTGAAGCAAACATATCTTTAAAGGAGAGGATGGAAAGTCTACATAAAGAAATGCATGAAATGAACAGTCGACTTATGACATTTTTTACAAAATTAGGTTAGTCAAAATCAAGGATGCAAAAGTCAAAATAGTTAGAATATGTGGAATCAAGTACAACAGATTAATAATGTAGCTGTGAACACAAATGTTGAGGATAAGGAACAACTACCTTTGGTAAAACAATTTCAAAAATTGCACCCACCATTTTATAAGGGCACGAAAGATGCCAATACTGTTGAAATTTGGGTAAAAAACTTAGAAAATATTTTAAGAATATTGAAGTATACTAATCAACAAAAGGTGGAGTTAGCCATTTATCAATTACAAGGTGAAGCAAAAGATTGGTGGACAACTACACAAGATGGAATGACAAGGAGGGGTGCAAATTAATTGAGAGAAATTTGTTGAAGTCTTCTTCGAAAGATACTTTTTAGAAGCTATTCAAGAAAGGAAAGAATAAGAGTTCATAAACTTGAGGTAAGGAGACATAACTGTGGATGACTACCAAGCAAAATATAGTGCTTTAGCCTGATTTGCACCCCATGTGACTAAAGATGAAGCTAAAAGGGCCAAAAAATTTTGAGAAAGGCTTATAAACTTCTATAAGAAAGAAGGTTGTTCCTTTAACACTTGAAACCTTTGATGAAGTTTAATTACTACATAGGTTGTTGAACAAAACTAGAATGAGTAGAAACAAGAAAGAAGTGATTAGAAAATTAAGGGAAAGGTAATGACTATTTCACAGATTCAAAAGAAAATAGAGTGGAAGGGAAAAAGAAATGTAACAAAAGGGTTTAAGCAAACTTTAGAAAGCCGCAAATGGTGTGGAAAAAATCATGGGGCAGAGAATGCTACCAGGCTAGTGGTGCTTGTTTTAAATGTGGTAAAATTAAACATCTAATCAAAGACTATTCAACTTTGAAGACAACCAATCAACAAGCCATAGGGTTGCAGAAAATACAAGACTGAAGGTAGTTGGAAGGGTTTTCACACTTACTAAGTAGTAGGCACAACAAAATCCCACTATTATTAGAGGTACATTGCCAATCTCTTCTAGACTTGCATATGTTTTAAGAAATCATGGATCTACACATTCCTTTGTTGCACCTAAATATGTTCCATATTTGCATGAAAAGTCTAGTAGACTAAAATACATGTTGGTAATGAGCACACCATATAGGGAAACTTTATTTTCTCAAATTGTTTTTTAAAATTGTTCAGTTATGTTGGGTAATAGAAATATGCCAACACACTTGGTGTTGCTACGGATAGAAGAATTTGATGTTGTTTTGGGGATGGACTAGTTAACTAGCCATTTTGCTATGGTTGACTTTTCATCAGGTAATCATATTTTACTCTCTAAAACAGCCTATAATTGGGTTTCAAGGTGAAAAATAAAATGTTAATCTTATGCTAATTTCTAGTATACAAGCCAGAAGATTTTTACAACATGTTTGTCAAGGATATTTGGCTTATATGTTTGTAAATCAAGAAAAGCCAGGTTTTGTTGAGGAAATCAATGTAGTATAGAATTTTAC